TGTTGGTTGTTAAAAGACCAATTCAGTTTTAAAATAAAGGCTTAAGTCATTTGCGGCCCCTTAAAGTTGTTCGCATAATTCACTTAGACACCTCAACTAAGACTATTACCTATTAGACACTTTAATATTAAAGAATATGTATCTATTGAACATAAAACGAAAACTTTTTTTAAAAATATTTTGTGTGTAGTTCACGCGCTTTGACTTAAAAAAATGACAAATAAAATTATGACACTTGGCACATGGACCCAATCTAGCAATAAAATATAATTTTTTAATTTAAAAAAATGAAAAATAGTTTCCCTTTATTTATTAATCACAAAAATATTAACAAAAGAAAATCCCCACCCCCACTTAAGCCTTTGACCTTTCTTCTTCCTTTATCCATTCCTCTACCCAGTAACCACGACCACCATAACAAAAATAAAAACCTCCTTTCAAATTTAATCTCCTATCATCTGTTATTCTCCATTTGTTTTGAGATTTTTGTGAAAATAAATAAACGTCAATAAATTGTTTTTAAGATTCATGACCAAGAAAAATTGAAAGTATGTTGAATTTTTTAATATCATCTTTAATAAATTAATGAGTGGCGATGTTTGTTCAATCGGAGTGATCGAAATAGAGCTAGACGAATATCGATCAATTTTTAACTCCAATGTTCGAATTTCTCTTCTTCACATATTAAATTAGCAGATTTTTTTTACAAAAAATGAAAAAAAAAAAAAAGAAGAATGAAACAAAATGCTAAGAATTTTGAAACCATTGGAATGGTGGGGGAAGAAGATAACCACTGATGCTAAGAATTTTGAAATCATTAGCATGATGGGGAAGAAGATAACCATTGAAGCATGGGTATGGGGGTTGTGTTGGGTTGGGGTTGATAGAAATAGGGAAGAAGAAGAACAAATCTTCTTTTTTGTTAATTATTTTTAAAAAAAATTAACTTAGGGGTATAAATTAAAAAAAGAAAAAATATTATTTTTAATAAATTAACGCGCTCAAGGAAAGTGAATTACACATTTTTTGCCATGTCAGCATTTTGTGTCTAATAGGAATGACTTTTAAACAAATAAAGTGTTCAATTGGCACAAGGATTAGTTGAGGTGTCTAAATGAATTATGCGGACAACTTTGAGTGGTTGGAGATGACTTAGGCCTAAAATAAATAAACAATGAAATTGCCCATATTCTGCTTGACACGTACCCATGCATACCAAACTTTATCCTCCTTTTACTCTTTTTTAAAAAAAATAAATAATCAATTGTTCCTTGTTTGACTATTCAAAATTTCTTAAAGTTTAGTTTAATTTGTCAAAATAGAGACACAAGACATGCAACTAATCATAAGAAAATTCTAAGAACCTAGAATCAAGTTTATGTTCAATGTTACACATTCCTAGAACATCTCTGTTAATCCTTCCGTTTTAATTTGTCTCCCCGTTTTTTTTAAATTTATTTAAAAATAAACAATCTTCTTTTTAATATGTTCATGTGTTGTTTGCGAGCTATCGTATAATAATTTTATCATGAGCACAGCGAAAGGATAGCAGCAACAAATTTTCCTTTTCATAAAAAAAAATTATTTTTCAACTTTTTACGTGACATTAAGGGCGAATCTAGTGTATTGATTATAGGTTCGGATAACTTTGATTCAAATTTTGAGTAAAAAGTTCATTGAATATTTAGAAACTATTAGCTTAAAAGAATCGAAATTCTGAACTATTAAACTTAAAATTCTAGATCTGTCTTTGCATGATATGTTTTATGTTTAATTTATCAGAAGATTAAAAGAAATTTTGATACGTTTTATATATTTTTAGTTTAAAATTGAAAGATTCAAAACTCAAAAGCACGTATTCTTTATTTTCTTAAATTTTATATGTGTACGAGTCAAAATCAGACAAACAAATAAAAAAAGACGGAATATATTATTAAAAAAAAACCAATATTGAAAACAGTACGGCGGGCTAAGCACCAATGTACCACATAACTTGTTTGCACGTTATCAAAAAACAAATATAACAAACTTTGTAGTTTTGATTACGTGGTGCAATTAAGATAAAATAATTTTTAGAATAAAACATTTGACTTATAATTTATACTTTAATTTTATAAAAAAATTGACTTAATATCTCTAAAAACGTTCGTGAGGGCACGAAGGTTACAATATTTTAATTATAATATCCTTTAGACACAAACTATAAAAGGACCAAATTTATATGTCAATTTCATCAAAACAAGATTGTAACATTTTCATTCCTTAGAGAGAAAAAAAACTAAAAAAAAAACTATGGCATCTTTTAATTACAAATTGAGTTTGATTTTCTTGATAATTGTGTCAATGGCATTTTTTCATCAAGCTATGGCTGCAGCCTCTTATTCCACCCCCTCCATTAGCCCCACTATGTTCAAAGCCATGCCTTGGAAACAAGCTTTTGCCACATTTTATGGAGACGAAACTGCTTCTGAAACAATGGGTGCGTTACTTAGTTGATATCGACTATATAAATCCTTTTTTTCCCCATAGTTTGGTTACACTTTTACAGTCTATCATCAACGTACCACAATTTTTGTTCGATCATGAAATATTAATCCATTATGCGTGTGAATCAACCAAGTTACACAATACATTACTTAATTATATCTTTAAAAAAAAATCACCAATTTTTTTTCTCGAAATTTAGTAATTTTTCACACGAATATCTATATTCAACTTTAAAATATTAGGTTCAATTGAACTCGTTGATCGCTTGTAGTATAGAGAATATATACATCATTATTACTGGATTTTAATCTGTTATAGTATGTTATTTGTCTTTTTTTAAAGCTACTGATCGATTTCACTCATTATTTATCGTACTCTCATAAATGATCTGACAGTATAACCGTTTTCTTTTTTTTTTTTAGGTGGGGCTTGTGGATATGGAAACTTGTTTAATTCAGGTTATGGAACAGCAACAGCAGCATTAAGCACAGTATTATTTGGCAATGGATATTCATGTGGTCAATGTTTTCAAATAATGTGTGTAAAATCAAAATTTTGCTATACAGGGTTCACCACAATTACAGCCACAAACCTTTGTCCACCTAATTGGTCCCAAGATTCAAACCATGGTGGATGGTGCAACCCACCACGCCAACATTTCGACATGTCAAAACCTGCTTTCATGAAAATTGCCCAATGGAAGGCTGGTATTGTCCCAGTCTCGTATCGCAGGTACGTAACAGTAATTTTACATCATCATCATCAGATCACCTGAAAGAAAGTTATCGTGATATGTGATAGTGTTAATCAAATTCAATGACAATTGAGTGCAAAGTTCGAAGTCATCTAATTTCGAATTTTTTTTTGAAATTCCCATTTTGCCCCTCTAAGGTTAATTTTACATCATTTCATACCCTCTAATCTAAAATAACGTGTATGGTTGTAGGGTACCTTGTATTAAGAAAGGCGGGATTAAATTCGCACTCCAAGGAAACGGTTACTGGTTATTGGTATACGTGATGAACGTGGCGGGAGGCGGTGACGTGGCAAGCATGTTGGTGAAAGGAAGCAAAACAGGATGGATGAGCATGAGCCACAATTGGGGAGCATCATATCAAGCATTTGCAACACTTTCAGGCCAAACTCTCTCATTCAAGCTCACTTCATACACATCTCATCAGACAATTATAGTTAATAATGTTGCACCTTCCAATTGGCGCGTAGGCATGACTTATCAAGCAAATGTCAACTTTCGTTAAATCGAGCCAGTAAATTTTGAATACTTACTTCTAAGCCTTCTAGAAGTCCCGATCCCGAGCCTCTATTATAGGCAATATTTTTCACCTTTCACTTTCTTTTTTTTTCTAGACGCCCTTCAAGGAGTGGTGCGATGCTCTTTTTGTTATTTTTCATAAAACTTTTATTTTGTGATATTGTACCCTAGTCTTTCATCACTATTGAAAAGAATAGAGCAATAAATTTATCATATATAATTTCCTTTATTTTTTTCAAGTCTTATATATATATGTGCATATAATTCCAATTAGTGACAATGAAGACATTGATTAAACGAATTAATTAACAAAAATTATACCAAACAAATTTGAGCAATAATTGGATCAAAATACTATATTCTGATTAACACTAGATGATATGTATAAGTAGGTGGGAAAAAATGAATCTGATGTACCAACTAATAATGGAAAGAAAAAAATTTTATACTCTAATCATAATTAGCATGGGTTACTCTTATATCAAAGAAATCAATAAGTACCTATCAAGAGAAAATTATTAAATATACTTGAGATGTATGACAATTGAGAAACAAAATTAAGCTTAATTATCATCTAATTGTCTTTCTATATATATATCATCAAAACTAACTTGAGAATCTAATCATATTTCGTAAACACAAGTAATTTTTCATACAAAATAACTTAGATATATCATCATACAATAAACTTGAACTAGTCGCTAAAAATAAACCTAAATTTTATTTTATTTTAAACTTAAAATTCCTAATGGATTGATTCAAGAGAAGTAATTTTAACAACTTCAAATTGTGTATTGTTGATTGTCTAATCTAAAAATTTACACGTATTATTAAAAGTAACATTAATATATTTTTATTTACTTTATTATATCTCTAACGACTTTTTTGACATAAAAAGATTTACGAGAATAGAAGGGTTTAATTTTTTGAATGACTCCTTGCCAATCAAGAATTATCCATTATTGGAGTGGGGGACATATAAATATAATGATAACCAAAAGATGGAATATTTTAAGTGCATAAGGTAATACAAAGAGCCTTTTTTGCCTTAAGCACGCCTCTTTCTTTTTTGACATGAATTGACATCATCATATCCACCCCCTCCAAAATCATTTCTACAGCCTTTGTCACATCCCCACCCCCACCCCACCCACTCACCTCTCACTTATATTTATCTCGTAAAAGCGGTGTTCAAATTTGAAGTTTATAGTTATTTAGTTCGTGAATATATTTATACATATTAAATACAAATTCGACACTAATCCAAAGTTATTGAGCTCGTCTGAAACTGTTCCTGATATTGTAGCTTCCGCCATATTGCTTAGATTCTTCAACAAATATTGTAGCATCCATTTCAGATCCTTAAATAAATACTTGATATTTTCAGCTTTGTCGTCCTTTGTCGCTTGAAATCTTCAAAATATTATGCTCATCGTCAAGGAGCTGAGCTGAGCTAGCTAGCTCATTGGTTGGACCTGGTATCTTCGATTCAAACCTTATTTTGTATTAAGAAAATTCATTGAATATGATTAATTTTGAACCAATAACTTTATAATTTTAGAATCACAAACTAATAAACTTTAAATTCTAACTTCGACGGATCTTTAAATGATGCATTAGGTATGATTACACAGTTGCAAGATCCAATCAACATAATTAATTTCGATCCCATTTAAAAGTTACATTACTTTCAAATTTACATGCCAAAGTATAACAGCTCATTTTCCCTCAAAAAGTTTTGAAACAAAGAAGATTCACTAATAAAGTTAGTCGAGACTTCACCACAAAGTATACATTCTTTTTTAAAAAAAATTGAAACTTTATTTCAAGATTATGGCCCCCTATAGTCTACCCCTAACAAAAGTTGGAAAAAAAAATTACAATAAGACTTATATTGCCTTAAAAAACATGTTACATACCACAAATTCCAAATAATACTTCCCTCTTTTCTCCAATTATCTCCATTTTTGCCAAAAAAATTAACCTTTTGATGATCAATCCTGGAAAGAACTCAACAATCTACACTCAATTAAGCAATTCCTTGTTCAAATGGGCTCATTTCTTTACCTTACTCTAACATTAATTTCATTGTCATTCACCGCGACTCTTACATCTCAAGCACAAGGTATAAAATCATCTCGACTACTTGATCTAGTCCTACGAGACAATACATTCCGATATTACAACACAAAGAAGTTTAGAACCGCGAAGTTATACCCCATACAGTTACCATCCAATCTATCAGGCATCAAAGTCGATTCAGTAAAGTATCGTTGTGGTAGTCTAACAAGATATGGTGCAAAAATTAAAGAATTCAAATTGCCAATTGGGGTAAGTATTCAACATTGTGCTGAAAGAGTACTTATTATTCGACAAAATCTTGGATCTAATTGGTCTTCGATTTACTATGATAACTATGAATTATCAGGTTATCAACTCATTTCCCCTGTTTTAGCACTATCAATGTACAATGCTGGTGACGACATGGTAACATCGTCTAATATTCCTTTTGAACTGAATTTTCTATCTGACAATACTCCGATCACTATTGATTTTAGTAACACCACAAGTGTAGTAAATTCGAGTATGATCATACCATTATGCGCTAGCTTTGAGCGCGATGGGAAGGTGATAGTAACAAAACAAGTGTCGAAAAATGTATGCTCTGCTTCAAAACAGGGGCATTTTGGTTTGGTTATTGAGTCGCCTTTGATACCTTTGAAAAATAAACGCGAAAGTAAGTGGAAATTAGCTATTGGGAGCTCGATTGGAGCTGCATTGGGCGCGTTTCTATTAGGTTTATTATTGATCGCGATATTTGTGAAGGTGAAGAAGAAAGCAAGGATGGAGGAATTGGTGAGAAGAGCCTATGAAGAAGAAGCTTTGCAAGTTTCAATGGTGGGACATGTTAGAGCACCAATTGCAGCAGGTACTAGGACTGTTCCAACTATTGAACATGAGTATAGTCATCATAATATTTCTTGAAAAGAAAAAATTACAATATTTTTTTTTTTGTGGAATATTATTCTTTTTGTAAGATGAAAATGTTTTTGAAGTTTTTTTTTTATGTATTGATAGAATTTAAATGTTTTAGGTTAGGGAAATAGAGTAAAATGCTGACAATTAATTTGTTGTTATTTATCTGTTCTGTTAAAATGAAGTTCTTTCTAGTTCTTTTGTTCTTCGTTATAACTTGTCTACAATGTAGTATTTTTTTACTTTAGATGGTCTTTCGGTTTTCAAATTCATAAGATAACAGTAAAATCAGCGTATACTTTATCATTTTCGGTTTTATTTTCATAAAGTAATAGTAAAATCTGTGTATACTTTATCGTTTTCAGACTCTACTTGTAAGATTTCATTGGGTATTTGTTGTTTTAGTAGTATACTTTTACTTGTTAAAAGATGAGTAATGTACTTGATCTTCTAGGTTAATTATCTTTTAGTAATATTTTATTTCGAGAATAATGAGTGTTATACAATTTTATGGTATTTATTTGATTCTTCCAAATAATAATATAAATTATGTTTGAACTTAAGTTTGATTGTGATTCAAGGACTTGAATAGCTAATCTGTGTTTTGAATTTGAGTTTTAATTATTTGTCATGAATATTTAAATGGTTGTCACGAAAAAGAAAAATCTAAATTTCACGATACAAACAAATAATCTTCCGCTCGGAAATGCTCTAAACATTTGAGATATTTTGTTGTTGATCCTTGAATTACTTGGGAATAGCATGTAAATAATTAGACATCTACAACTTGTAGAGAAAAATTGATGACTTTTGATCCACAAGTTCGCAGGGGCGGAGCTACCTAGGATAAGAGTGTCAAATGACATTCTTTATCGAAAAAATATATTGTATATATAAGCTAAAAATTGATTTAAATAATATATATATAAGTGATAACACATCTTGACATAAGTTGAAGGTTTAGTGTAGTGATCAAGGAATCACAAAAATTATTTGAGATTTTGTGTTTAATTCTTAATAGCGGTATTTATATTTCAACTTTATATTTTAATACCCCTTAGTAAAAGTTCTGACTCCTAAAAATTTGGACATGGAAGTTAAAAATTCACACAAAATGCAAAATAAAAAGACTCATCTATGTAGGGGTTTTTGACTTTTGACTGTGGAATTAAAAATGATGTACCATGATTATGAAGGAAAAAAAGAACAGTAGAAATTATAAAAGCTTAAAGGCGTGTAACTTTGAGTAGACAAAAACTTTAGAAATAAGGCATGACATGTTAAGCAATCATGAAAAATTGTGTGATAAACATATAAAAATTGCACATGTTTGAGAATTGAGAGTCAAATGTAAGAAAATAGACAATAGCATATAGTAATGTATTTCTATAAAATTACGATTCTCTTTAATATTATCTCCGTCCCTAATTACTTGTTCATATTTTTTTATAGTTATTTTTAATTACTTGTCCATTTTGATAAATTAAGAACAATTTTTTTACCTATTATACCCTCAATTAAATGACTAATTAATTTGAAAATAATTTTTCATCCACTTCACAATTAATAGGGATAAAATAGTAAACTCACTATGTCATTAATTATTTTCTTAATAGGTGTGTCAATTTAAAAATAAACTAGTAAAAAAGAACAGAGGGAGTAGCTTTTATTTTGTGTCTAATATATTATAATTTTCTAGAATGTTGTCGCAGTTATGATTTATTCGATAACATGGAAGGAATGCATCTGACGTAAAATTAAGATATTCATGTATTTTATCTTTATTAGATCTCGTTTTATAAGAATACACTATGAAATGTAGTAACAGTTATGATTGATTCGACTAAATAGAAGGAAGGAATCTAAAATAAAAATAGTATATGTGTGCTTTCGACCTTCTTCAGACCTCACTCTATGAAAATACACTATGGAATATAGTGATAGCTATGATTAATTCAATAAAATAGAAGAAATATTTGATGTACATATAAAATATGTGTGTATTCTACCTTCTTCAAACCTCACTTTATAAGAATACACTCTGAAAATATATCTGACATAAAAATAAAATATATATTTATTCTATCTATTTCAGATCTTACCGTACGAGAAATTGAGAATATACACTTAAACTTTTATTGATAAAGTGGAAGATATTGTTTGTATTTTTTGGTGGAATTTTTTATTTATTTATTTTTTGAAAGGGGATGGGGGGTCTCATTAAATTTTGTATAATCATGGAATAGAGAAATTGTCTTTTTCCTCTATTTTTTTTTTCTCGTAGGCCCTCTTGTTGTAATTTTTTTTAAAATAATAATCTTTCCTCCTTTACTTATTTGTCTTATATGAAAATTAAATAAAAATAAGAACCTTTTTTTTTCTTCATATTAAATTATTTTTTTATTGAACTTGTAAATGACTAATATAAAAGGTGTGACTTCAAGGATATGAGAAATTGCTTTATGCTTGCAAATCAAAATGGACCTATTTGTCTCCCCTTACACTTAAAGACCTAATTTAATCCTAATACCAAAAAGTGTCTACACTTTTATTACAAGAAAGAATATGTAATGGTTTTTAATTTTGTAACCTAGCTTGCCAATAAAAGTAGTAAATTATTTTATGCGGTTTTCGGATTTCAATCATGAATGTTTATGTTTAGAAATGATTGAATAACATCATAGAATGACCATCCACAAAAACTTACATTTCAATCATCTGAACTCGATTTTAAGCACATTTTAGATTAGAATGTCTACTGAAAATTGAATAAAACCATTCTTCTTTTTGTTTTTTTGGTTTTTAATTATAAAAATGATAAATTTTGGTTTGGCTTTTATTTTAGAAAAAGAAAATCAAACCAAATTAACTAAATAAATACCAATGTAAAGAATTAGTAATTGTACATATTAATGTTTGTGCACTCCTAGTTTGTCATTCAAGTTTTTGCCTTCACTTTCTTGTTTGACTTGTAATTTTATGTTGATAATTTCTAGAATTTATTTCATGTTCTAAACAATTTATCTTTTGATAGTTATAAATTTTTCAATATTATCTAATTTAATTAGCGTCTATATCTTTGTATATCACAATTAGAGCTTTAACTTTTTACATAAATTTTATAATGTTCCTTTGGAGATGATAAATTTTCGGATGATAGTAAATTTTTGAAATTTTCTTCATTATTTACCCTTTAATTAGTAAGATTTACTGCTTTAAAATTTTTGAGATTAGTCTAAAAGTAATCAAAATTTATATCTTTAAATATTTTGGATGACACATACCTCAACAACTCATTTAATATGAACAAGAGGCAAGAGTTTTTTTCATAATAAAAAAAGAACAAACCACAAAATTGACATAAATTGAAGCGATGAAAAAACAATTAAATTTGTTTGGTTTGATTTCAATAATTAAGTAATTCGTTAACTTTAACTTTTATATGAACTAAATTATGATCTACTCTACTCTTAGGTTTAAATTTTAAAAAGGATAGTAAGTAATTTCTCTTCATTTGTTGAAGCCAAACTTATAAAATCAAATAAAATAAATATACATTGATTTGAATATCACGATTAGAAAAGAAAATAATTGAAAAATATTTTACACCACCTATGCATAGATATTAAATTCACTACAACAAATAATTAATAGCATGACCAAAACTACATATATTTATTCTCTGTCTTTTCTATTAACCCTTTGAAAGATTCCTCAATTAATCTAATATATTATTATGCCAACTACTATGGAGTATGAATTTATTTCATTTTAACAACTTGTCTCTTACCAAAAATTAATTTCTCTAATATCAACCAACCAATAATCACTTTTAAGAATCAACTCAAATTAATGATTCTCTTCCCACCAAGAAAATGAAGTTAAAAGGGTCTAATTTACTTACAATTTCTACCAATAAAATACTTAGGGTATGTTTGAACGTGTTACATAAAATAATGTTTTGAAATTAAAATGGTTTAAGTTGAAATTAGATGGAAATTTCAAATTATATAGTTTGAAGAAATTGAGATCTGAAATTACAATTTCAAATCACATGTTCAAAAGTTAATTTGAAATCATAACTTTATTGAAAAATTGATATCTGAAATTACAAGTTCAAAAGACTAAACACAATTTTCAACCACATTCTATATGTATATCAAATCAAACACAAAATATATACACCATGTATTCATTTATTTGGTGTAAACACAGAGAGATTATTATGTAGACTAAACACAATTTTCAACCATATTCCATATGTATATCAAATCAAACACAAAATATATACACCATATATTCGTTTATTTAGTGTAAACACAGAGAGAAAATTAATTTATATATATCGTCATTTGATTTCCATGGAGAGAAGGAACCAAGTAATATTAAAGAGGCCCATACGAACTCTCTTTCATCATATTTTACTATTATAACAACAAAAATAACAATATACTCGGTGTAATTTTAATACAGAATTTTAGAAAGGATTGAGCATAACGAACCTTATACATATATAAAAAGGTAAAGATACTGTTTTCCATTGACCCTGGATTCAAGTGTATATTTAAAAATAAAATTACTTTTATAATTATATGATAAAATGTCAAATCCTTTTAACTTCTTTATATATTTACTTCTCCGTATTTTAATAAAAATTGGAAACTCTTGTCTTGATCCTTCCTTTGCTTTAATAAAATTATACCTACTAATTAGGAATGTAGTAGGTTTAAAATATTAATCATACTAATCATTCGTTTGTGATAATTAACAAGTTCATACAAAGAACAAATAGAATTATCGCGCATAATTTACTCACTTGAAATCATTCAATCAAAAATTAAAACACAAACGCATTTACCATTTACCCCATCAAATTTAATATCTTTGATTTTTTTTTTCTTTACCAAATCAGCATAAATACTAGAACAAAATTATATTTTAGGAAGTTAAACTGTTTTGACATTATTATATATTTCCTCCGTCTTAAATTATTTAATCTTAATTTTGTTTTACATACATTTTTAAACATATAAACTAGGAGAGTTATTCAAAATTACTTTATCTGTGCATTCGATTTTTCTGTTCGATTTTAAATTCAATTTGGATTTTGATTTTTTGTTTTGAAGAGGTGTAACCCAACTCAAACCAAAATAAATTTAGTTTGGTTTGGTTTTCTCTTTTTGGTTTGGATTTTTTCGATTTGGTTAATCGGTTATGTCAATAATTAGATACATAACAAAGTTATAT